TTTTGGGGTAAAAATCATCGAAAAAAGACGTTTTTGGTTTCGCGTGAAAACGAAACATATTGGGCGCATGAGGGTAGAGGCAAAAACGGAGCATTTTTTGCGGTGAACTTTTTGCTGGATTAAAAACTTTTTTGAAGAAAACTAAAACGATTAATGGATTGGAGTTTCTGAGCTATTGTTTAAAGAAAAATCAATAAAAATACTTTATGGTAGTTTTGCGCGTAAAAAATGGGCATTTGACATCCGATAATGCGTGGTGAATGTGAAGGTTGGTGACAGTGAGTGGTGGTGGCGGTAGTGAGTGATGATGGTGGCAGTGAGTGGTGGTAGTGAGTGGTGATGGCAGTGAGGGGTGGTGGTAGTGAGTAGGGAGAGAGACAATATACAGCGTTTTCGTTGGGAGTTTTTTTACTCTATGTGGTTGCATGACTTATCGGCGGTTGAAGTATATGCTTGGGTGGTTTCTCTCTTACAAAAATTTTGAAAGTAGTGTTTTTCTACATTTTAGGGCTACACTCTTTCATCTAGACAGATAACAAAATTTGTAAGTCGACCGGTCTCCGAAATCCAGGTCCTGGTTTTCTAGAAACCGATTTCGGTAGGGCTGTGAGCCCAAACCATCATGTTGATCGGATTTAGCACACTTCAGTACATGTTGTCCACTTAATCTCAGCCCAAAGTCGATGAGATAGTTAGAAATGTTTTCTCGCTAGTGGGAGAGGGATGAACAAGTGTGGAGCACGATTGTATGACCTAGAAATCTTCAGAGCAGAAAGCGACCTGGAGCTTTTAGAACTTGTTGCTCAGTAAAACTATAGCCCACACTAGTCGGCAGGGCTGAGCGTCGGAGAACAAAAGCTTCGTACAAGAGTGACTCGATATGTGAACCAGTTCTTCCAAAAAAATCCAGCTCGAACCTCGCTTTCAAGAATGGATTATAGCGAAAACAAGATATAATACAAAATAACTCTGTTTCTTTTCTTTTTCTGAAATTCCTTTCGTCATATAAAGAACAAGTTTCAGTTTATATTCAAAAAACAGGCTATACTAGTTAATTTTGACCCGTCTCACCTTGCTTACGCGAGCTTAAAGTAATCCTCACGCCATCTTAAAAATGTGTTAACACGATCTTAGGTTTTGCACATCCTATGGAAAAAACGCGGAGTTTTATTTGAATGTCAACATCCAAAAAAGACTCACATGGTCGCATAAAGTCATTCTGCTTTCTATTGTGAGAACATGAGATCCCTACTGAGGAGTTTCACCTTTTAGCACCGCTAGATGTTACCCTGATAATTTTACTTCTTGTGTTGCTTTTATTCTGCCTGAGCAAGGAAGTGTTTCAGGAAAAGATGGTGAAGTCCACCAGGTTTAGATCGAATTTCCTTGAAAGCGGATACTTAATTGTTGTCCTCGATAGAGAGTCAAACTTGACTGACGGCTAGGTTCTGATGAAGAAAGCTGCTCGATTTCTCGATGAAGGCCTCGAATGACCACCCGTATTGCATACAGCGTTCCAATTTCCGGAACGTGACAGAGCATTTTATACAGAAATCCGTCGCAGCTATACCACCAAACAGACGACTGGTGGCTCTCGTCATGTTCGAATCGTTCAAGAAACGTCAGTGTCGATCGGTTACTAATCTAGCTGTAATAGTTTCGACAATATGAGATCATTTCCGCTCTCTCCTGCTTCTCATTGACTGGCAAATCCATGACAAGAACGATTTGTTTGAATAGTCGAGTATACATAAAACTTACTTCTTGTATATTTCTCTTTTCACCATGTAACCATGAGGACGTACTTTTGTCATTAATCACGCTGAACGCGAATGATACATGTTCTTCAATTAATCTTATTTCGCCTTTCAATTGTGTGAAAGAGACGATACTCTTCACTTTAGAACATTCTGGCATCCAGTTTTTTCATCAGAATGATGTAAAAGATACATCCGATGAATATTCGCAACTGACTGTAGAATGGATAGTAAGTTCTCTATTTTTTCATTAATTGATAATGCTGAACAGCTTAGAACAAGATAAACTCGAGTGTCCCGTTGTATATCGATAATATATTCCAAGCATTCATCTGCATTATCAAATAGCTTCACATTTGGGAATAATGTAGATTCGTGTTCTCGCTCTGCAGTATCTCTCAGATTGTTTAAGAGAGTGTCATTCGGTAACATTCTCTTCTTTCTGTTCGTTGGTACGAGTAGATGTTGTAGCCATTCGTCATCGAAATCCATATCAAAGCGGTTCAAAAATTTGGAAGAAAGAACAGATGTTCTGATACAACTTCTCTGATGTAGTTTTAGACGCTGAATCCGAATATGAAGTCTGATTTTCCTGCAGATATTTTTGGCATGTATATGTCTATTTATATATTCTTTGGATTCTGGGATTTCACTTGATGTAGAGTTTGTAGACTGTAACCGTATTCACATGCACATATATATGCATTTAGCTGTTCTGGATATTCTGGGGTTTCACTCGATATGGGGTCTCGCAGTTTGTGACGCTGAATTCGAATATGTCAGATTTTCCTGCAAACCTGGTACAAGAACGTCTGCTTCAAGAACATACAAACACCCAACCAGAGGCAGCTACGGTAAGTACCATGTTGGTCGCACATGCAATGTCAATTTTAGAAAAATATCATATAATCAGATGTAATCAGAAAAAGGAAGGGAACGAGATCAATAATCATGCAATCAAATAATGATGCGCTTCTTAAAATACACAGAAGGGAAAGAATGATCGAGAAGAAGTCAGAAAATCAAGAAAAAGAAAGAGGGATAAAAATAAAATAAAGTAGACTTTCGATATATAATTGCATCATCTGAGAATACAGAGACCTATCTATACCACTACATTTTTGTCATACAGTGCCACTTTTTTCGTTATCAATTTTTCGCTAGTCTGTTGAAAAAGAATATTCGAAACGTCTTCATACTAGCCAGTTTTTTGTCACCTTTCTACTCTTTCTACTTTCCATTTTTAAAAATAAAAACTTTCAAAAATTAATAAAAAGATCTTCATCTTTCCAGTAACATACTGCACTTACTTCAAGCATTTCAACATACGGCCAGCCTGATCTATTACACTGTTGGTGCCTCCGCATCTGTAATCTTAATCACCCTCACTCTCAGCTTGAGCGATAACCACTTATAGCTTCTGAGGAACCAACTAAAAACTAAAAACCAGAATAATACGGATCAGGCAAACACAATCGCAGATAATCTAAACGAGAGAAACTATAGAACGAAAAAAGTTGCTATTTCTAGAGCATTATTTTCGAAAGATCGAGGACCGATCATTGGAGAAGATGATGCAATTGTTGCAGTTATTTCTATCTCGTCATCTGAATTAAGGTGCAGGAAAGGCAAAAACGGAGCAGACGCAAAAGTGGTCGAATTATACCTCATTCGATAGCCCTGACAATTCTGACCCATGGTCATAGTCATCAGATTCCACTTTTGACGAGATTTTCAGGTCGAAAACGTGAAAATACTAGAACCCCCGAAAAAGTCTGTTTTTGGTAGATGTTAAGAAAAACGCAAAAACACCATGTCTTTTGGAGGATTTCAGTTCTGAGTGAGATATTCGGATTCTTCCGCTCCTGTTGCTTGAAAGTCCTCTGCACACTCACTGAAACATAGGAAAGTATGTGTACACATTTTTTTTAAAATGTTTTGTCAGTCAGAAAAAAGTTAAACGATATGGTCAGTAGAAAAAAACAGTATTTTCGATTTCTTCTTTTCCGATCAGATAACACTTGTTTCACTTTTCCAATTAAACTATAGGTTAAAAATGAAGCAGAATTTAACGGAGACTATGTAAGTATATTCAGGAAGTTTATTTCTAAAGTTCTGAACGCTTTCCACTTGAAAACCCGATTTTGCCTGTTTTGGCTGTTGCCTCAGTCGCACTAGTATCGAGAGTTTCTTCTTCTTCTTTCGGAGTCGTTGAGCTTGCTTTTTCGCGCGTGTAGGTCTCGTCTTCAGAACTACTTGACTCTGCTTCCCCTTCTTCCATTTTCTCTTCTGTAGGATTGGAGCCAACGGTTTGACAATGTTTCTTGCGTCGGTCCGGAGGAGGCATAATTGATAAAGAACGAGTGAGAACGGTAAAGAGGAGAGATTTTGTCCGTGTTAATACCCAATCGTTTTCCAACTGATTACACTAATTGGTCTGGCACTGAATGTATGTTAAGATCAAAGATACCGTCTTTCTTTGATGTTTTACTACTTGAAAAATCGGGTTTTCAGGTGGAAAGCGTTCAGAACTTTAGAAATAAACTTCCTG